TGGTTTATTGACTTTTGAATCTACTTGTACCGGTGACTACCATGAGGACATGAATGCTGATGCCTTTAAAGAGTGGTTCGAACAAATTATAGATCTTCTTCCTCAGAACTGTATAATAGTAATGGATAATGCAAGTTATCACTCGAGACTTATAGAAAAAATGCCCACAACCAAGTGGTTAAAAAAAGATTTACAGAATTGGCTAAATTCAAAGAATATTAAGTTCCATCCCGGTTCTGTGAGAAAAGAACTGTATCATTTGTGTTCCCTTCATAAAGAGAAATTCAAAAAATATGAAATTGATGAAATTGCAAAAATCGTGGGATGACGGTGGTTAGATCACCACCATATCATTGCGAAGTAAACCCGATTGAACTGATATGGGCACAGATAAAGGGAGAAGTTTCAAGAAAAAATTATTCTTTTAAAATGAGTGATGTTAAACAGTTGTTTTTGGGAGGCTGTAAATAATGTGAAGCCTGAAAACTGGGAAAAGGCAGTAAATCATACGATTAAAGAAGAAGAGAAAATGTGGAAGTTGGACAATATTACTGATGAAATTGTAAATATTGGTTGTGACAGTTCATCTTTTGATTTCGATTCTGATTTGGATTTGTAGGTAAGAAGTAGTTTTTATATTAAAATTAATATTTATGAACGTAACGTTGTTTAAAAGTCAAAGTTTAAACCCTTATACCTACATAACCCGTTTGACACAATGTTATTAACATACCTTGTGGAAAAATAAAACATTTTAGAAAAAATTGCACTTTTTTACCTTCAGCTATTTAGAAGTTATAAGCAGGTTAATTAGGTGAAAATATAAGTGTATACTCGCGGAATAACTTCAAAAAATATTTTAACTGTCTACTAAAAGTAGTGGTACGCCTATGGATTAGGAACGCTTTATTACTTTAATACTCTCTCATACATAAAAATAGACTATAATAGGTACTAACTTTGCAGAAAAGTACAAATTTTGAAAAAAAAAATGAGCAAAATGGCATTTTTTATATGGTAAATATGTTGATTTTTGTTGATTTTGGTTGATTTTTGTCGATTTTTGTCGTAAATTTGTTGTGAAAAAAAGTTTTTAGGTATCACTCATCCCCTTTTTGAAATAAACCCCAGTTAATGCAAATTTTGACGGAAAATTAGCACTAACCAATCACGAAAATGAGCATAAATGACATTTTTTTATATGGTTATTGTGTTGATTTTTGTGAATTTTTGTGGATTTTTGTGGATTTTTGTTGATTTTTCTGGATTTTTCTGAATTTTTGTTGATTTTTTGGTTTTTGTTGATTTTTATCGCAAATTTGTTGTGAAAAAAAGCTATTGTCACCCATCCCCTTTTTAAAATAAACCCCAGTTAATGCAAATTTTGACGGTAAGTTAGCACTAACCAATCACGAAAATGAGCATAAATTAGATTTGTTATAGGTACATATAATTTGGCGCTTTTTTGTCGTAAATTTGTTGTGGAAAAAATTTGTCGCTCATCCCCTTTTTTGAAAAAACCGCATTTAATGCAAATTTTGAAATGAGTACAATTGACATTTTTTGTATTGATAATTTGTCGCTATTTGGTGGCAAATTTGTTGTAGAAAAAACAATGTTGTCTCTTATATCTGCACTTTTTGAAATAAACACCAGCTAATACTAATTTTGCAGGAAAGTACAAATTTTGAAAAAAATGAGCATAAATGGCATTTTTTATGTGGTTAATATGTTGATTTTTGTTGATTTTTGTCGTAAATTTGTTGTGAAAAAAAGTTTTTAGGTATCACTCATCCCCTTTTTGAAATAAACCCCAGTTAATGCAGATTTTGACGGAAAGTCTACTAACTAACTAATCACGAAAATGAATGAGCATAAATTACATTTTTTATATGGATAATTTGTCGCTTTTTTGTCGTAAATTTGTTGTGGAAAAAAATGTTTGCTCATCCCCTTTTTATAATAAACCCCTGTTTGGGCTAATTTTGTGGGAAAGTTAGTACGACCGATCACGAAAATGAGCATAAATGACATTTTTTATATGGTTAATATGTTGATTTTTATTGATTTTTGTTGATTTTTGTTGATTTTTGTTGATTTTTGTTGATTTTTGTTGATTTTTGTTGATTTTTGTTGTATTTTGTTGATTTTTGTTGGTTTTTATTGTTTTTTGTTGATTTTTGTTGATTTTTGTTGATTTTTGTTGATTTTGGTTGATTTTTGTTGATTTTTGTTGATTTTTGTTGTATTTTGTTGGTTTTTATTGATTTTTGTTGTATTTTGTTGATTTTTGTTGGTTTTGATTGATTTTTGTTGATTTTTGTTGATTTTTGTTGGTTTTTGTTGGTTTTTGTTGATTTTTGTTGATTTTTATCGCAAATTTGTTGTGAAAAAAAGTTTTTGTCACCCATCTCCTTTTTAAAATAAACCCCAGTTAACGCAAATTTTGACGGAAAGTTAGCAGTAACCAATCACGAAAATGATCATAAATGACATTTTCTTTGTTTTTTATGACTAATTTATAAAGAATTTATTCAATATTCAATTCAAAATTTATAACATGGTAGAAATGACTTTACGGAAAAAATATTTTATTCAGTGGTAACTGCATCTATTTTTCGTAGGAAAAGTATGCTCTTTCTATTTCATTTATTTGTAGCATTCGCCTGTAAACATGGTAGTCCCAAAAAAAACATTCCATGTTTGTTCCACGAGCACTAATAAAGGTTATTTTAGCAAAAACTGGAGTTTATTTAAAAAATGAATGAACCACAAACATTTTTTTTCCATTAAAAAACGACAAATTATCCATAAAAAATGTCTTTTATGCACATTTTCGTGATTGGTGATGCCGGTGGAGCTTACTTTCCATTAAAATTAGCATTAATTTCAAAAAGGGGATGAGTGACAAATTTTTTTACAGAAAGGAGTTTCGACAAAAAAACAAATTAACCATATAAAAACAATATCATTTATGCTCATGTTCGTAATTAGTATTGCCTATTTTAAATCAAAATTAGCATTAACTGGGATTTATTCCAAAAAGGGGATAAGCGGCCAATTTTATTTTCCATAGCCAACTTACGACAAACAGCAACAAATTTCGTGATTGGTAGTGCTAACTTTCCATCAAAATTAGTATTAAATGGAATTTGCTTCAAAAAAATGATCGATAAATTTTTTTTCACAACAAATTTTCGACAAAAAGCGACAAATTATTAAAACAAAAAACATGTCTTTTATGCTCATTTTTGTGATTTGTAATGCTAACTTTACCGTGAAGTTGGAACCAGGGGATATTTTGAAAAGGAAATGAGTGACAGTTTTTGTTCCACAACAAATTTACGACAAATTCTCCAATATTCAAACATCCAAAATTCGAAAGTTTTATTTTTGTTATGTAATTTATACGAAATAAAAAAAATAATTTCTAGTTATAGAAATTTTTTATTCAGGAAGACAAACAGATCTGTATATACTGTTGAAAAAATAATAAATAATAAGGCAATAATAACGGAGAATATGAAAGTCATAATAAGGTTAGCTGACACTGCGTAGGTATGGTATAGGTAACTTTATTCCAGACAGAAGTTAAACCCTTTCAAATGGTATATCACATGACCTGTGTTGCTATTTAAAAAAATCAAGATGGCGGCCATGCTTAAAATTTTGTAATTATAAAAAAAATAATTTTTGGGCTAAAATATGCGCAAATAGGTATATTTCATTGAAATTCTGAAATTTTGGGTTCCATCTTTAACAGCTACTCTGTATAATATTGTAGAAATTCTAAGTCATGTGAATAAAAAAGAATTCTGCTATTGGCCAACGTTTTCTGACGTCGACCATAAATGTCCAGACAGCAGTAGCCGTTCGCCATGTTCACAAAACAAAGCATGGTAGGTACATAACACATTATATTATAAGCACCGATGTGTTTGAGAAAATTTTAATAATAACTTCTATTAGTGGTAAGTACATTTATTATTGTTTCTGAACAATTTACCTTTAGATAACTAATTTAAATAACCTTAGTTATTTTAAAAAAATAGTTGTGGCCAACGATCGAATGTTGTGCCCAACGATCGAATGTTGTGCAAAGTTCAATGATGTTTTTTTGTTTTAATTGTGACATACCTACTTTCTCATTTTTGTTAGTTATCTGACATAGTCATTTAATATCCCAATCAGTGTAAAGGTGATAAATATCCCCGTTTTAAGGGTATGAACAGTTCAATAGGTTAATTTTTATTTCATATTTTTCAGGTGCAGAAAAGCCAACTGGGACTGAGGGAGCTATTATTACTGTTATTTATTACATAATGTAATTAAGACTTTGTATCTTTTATATTAAAACAATAAATTTTGAATATTTTATTAAGGACCATTTTTTTAGGTTATAATTATAATTATGGAATTCTACTACAAATTTTATTAAAAATTACTACAATTTGTATGAATTTTTACTATTTATTGTGTAAAATTTTCGTATTAATTTTCATGAAACGCAATACATTTTTAATATAAATTCATACAATGAAAAGAAAAAATTATAACAATTTGTAGAATAATTCTTATGATGCATTTGGAAATTTTTACTACAAATTGTCACTGTCCCTATATGTACTATTTATTGTAGGAGAAAAAATGTATAATTGTAGAAATTTTTTCTACAATTTTTTTTTTCGTGAAGGACTTAAATTTTGATTTAATTAATAACACACTTTCAACATTAGCATGGAACTATCATATTTATGACATTAATGCAAAATTTTGTAACAAATATTTTAAACGTATTAGAATCTGTAGCGCCAAAAAAACAAATAAAAATATTTCCTAAATACAAAAAATGGTGGAATGAACACCTTCTACAAATTTTCTCCAGAGGGCATATCACTTAGTTTATATCACGAATAGAATGTATTACCATAGAATATGTATTTAGAACAAAAACGATCAATATTTTTCTGAATAATATAACGACTCGGTTCGGTACTCACCTTGATGATGCGAACTAATCACAGCTGTCTTATTACCGCTCAGATAGTCTTCTTTGCAGATGAATTTGTTATCGTCTAATACGTAAAGTTCTTCTCCTGTCGAAAGTTGTTTCCTGCACACCAGGCAGGTGAAACAATTCAAATGGAACACTTTGTCTCTCGCTTTTCGCACTAAGTCACTCGGCGATATTCCTTGACCACAACCACCACATTTAGTACCGTATCTCCTAGAAAAAATTAGAATATTTCAATAAATAGGGGAACAAATTATCTTCATAATATAATAAAAACAGTTTTTACTGATAATTTGAAAGTTAGAAAGTTTGTCAAGATAGGTATATACTTTTATCCCTCAGTTATTTCCTAATCTCTAAATGACACTGTCTAATTTGAATGACAACGTCCAATATACCATTAATAATAATTACTATAAATTTAGCTAGTAGATGGGCAGAAATAAAATGAGCAGAAACTTTACAATTAAAATGAGAATTAATGCCATTTTCTGAAATTTTTTCTTTTAGTACATCAAAAAAAAATGTACCAGATTTCATAAAAATGTACCAGATTTTTCGAATTTTATTCACAGTGACGGTCTAATTCATTGAAGAAGATCAAAAATAAGGTGTTATAGACATCACAAAAAGCACCACAACAATTTTTACAAGTCAAATGGAAACATATGCTCCACGCCATTGTTGCCAATCTAGTACAATTCTACCAGATCTAGTACATTCTCTAAGAATCTGATACCCTAGTACACTTGAAGCAAAATCTAGTACTTTGCTTTTTTCAGCGTATGTTTCCATTTGACGTATAAAATATATTGTTGGGGGATCTTCCTTGTTTGTGTTGTTCATTTTTTTTGCTTTTAAATGAACCAAACCATCACAATTCAAAAAATCTGTGTACATTTTATAGAACCTGGTCCATTTTCAGGGAATCTGGTACATTTTTTAGACAAATCTAGTACATAACAAAAATATATTCTGGCAACCCTGTTCCACGCTGCATAGCGAAGAAGAAAAAGTATTAGATTTAACTTCGAGTATAGTAAAGTACTAGATTCTTTGAGAATGTACTAGATCTAGTATAATTGCACTAGACTGGCAATACTATAGTAGAAATTACCCAGTTTTAGAAATTTTATTTTTAAAGTTAGCAGCTAGGTCTGTTGCTTACACACGTTTACTAAATATTTTAGGTATAAATTAGTATATACGTACAATTTAAAAATTTTAAATTTACAGGGTGATTTACAAATGTATGACAAAAATAATGAGTATCTATTTCGTACAGGCATATACTTCATAATCTACGTGTATAGAGAGCAAGAAACATAGTGTCTATATAAAAATTTATATTTTTGTTGGTTGGTTGGTTGGTTGGTTGGTTGGTTGGTTGCATTGTTCACCCTGTATAAAAAGTACACATAGCGCAAAATCTTTTAACCTCAAAATTATGAACTAGTAGATATTAAGTGAATGAAAAATTTTCACTATGTCACAACTGTAAAATTATTGAGTGTTTGCAGAAATGTATTGTGATTTATTCGTAAATCACCCTGCAACATTGAATATTTTAAAATGTCCCTTTTTATGAACATCTAACCAAAACTTATGATAAACTGAAGTATACAGAGCTTATTTTTTCGTGTTAGACACACGACTAGTATATAAGTTAATAAAATGGCAACAGGACAACAGATAATTGTCAAGTAGAATTAGAAGATATGGTGGTGGGCTAGAGAGCATAGCGATTGCAGAGATATCGTAGTTGCCACATGTTCGCTATGAAAGCACGACTATGCCTAATGCAAAATAATAAGTACTGTGTGTCTTTTTATTCAACTGTTGCAGCAACGTTGGCATCAATCTATCAATGACGAACTAACAGTCCTGTCTTTTCATCTAACGTTGCTGCAATCGATGCAGCACCAATCCATCAATTTCAATGCATGATTTTTCCGATTAAATGTGACAAGTGACAGCTGGATTGCGGGAATTAAGCAGAATTAAGGAGTTATTTAATTGTTCTATCTTTTTTAGTTTATTTTTTTTTGTTTTTTGGCTTTTTTTTTGGTTTCTAGTAAGTTTGCAAATAATAATTAAGAGTTAGAGTTTATTTTATTCTATATTTAAATTCTTAACTAAATAGTTTGAATAAGGCATTTTTTTGCAATGTAACTAGTCTGTAATTTAAATTTAATTTAACTTTTATTCTTGTTTTTGTATTTGCTCTGTAAATGATTTATGCTATTGGGCAATAAAACGCTATTATTATTAATATTAAAAAGGTGTTAGACTTAATTATACTTAATAATTTTTGTACCTTTCTTAAAATAAAATACTGTCCTACAAATATCATTCATATATACAGGGTTTTGAATGAATTCTTAAGAAAACGAATTTTATGTTGTGATTCTCTCTTTAAAGAAATGCTGTACAATATTTTGATGCCAAAATACCATATTTAGTAATACTTTTGGAAAATATCTTTCCCTGACGACACAGAAGAATTAGTGATATTTTGCAAAAAAACTACCGTCATACATTTTTGAATCGCCCTGTAATTATAAATATTTTTAATTTTATGTGTATACTAATGTATTACTAAAACTTGTAATAAACGTGTGTATGCAACAGAAATTCAATATAGCTCGTAAGTTTGAATATAAAAATTCCGAAAAACTGGGTAATTTAAATATTCAATCGAGAATTCAAATCATTTTCAAACACATACGAGAAGTTGCTAATTTAATTATAGGTAAACGTCTCTAGACGCGTGTATAACACGCAGTTACAACAAAACACATTTGTATAATTAGTTTTGACCAGAGACTAGATTGACTAGAATAACAATGATCAACGTAGACTATGTTTGAATAGTAAAGAGTACAGCAATTTGACATACGAATATTTTAAATTTTTTTAATTTTATGTAAAGATTGTTTGTAGGTGAATAGTAGAAACCAAAAATATAGGAACCGAAGTCGAAACCAAATGAAAGAAAATAAAGTACAAATTAATAGGGTGATCCACGCCTCCCGATTTTTAGTTTGTATTTGTACGGACGCCTTATAACACAAATAACTACTTCCAGAGCTATATATGGTAAACCGGACATTGAATTACAGTGTTATAATGAGTTCGCGATCGAACCTATCGATATAACAGACCCTTTGATTAAGAATTTATGGAACTATAATATTCTACGACTCATTTCTCCATATTGAGAGTTTTTTAGGTAAAAGCAGTTAGCTTAAGTAGAATCTCTAATCAACCACGAAAATAGGTTAATCTTTCTTAGTTCGTATATAGTTTATACGAACTAAGTTCTCAAATATTCCTAATTAGAAATTTAAAAAAAAGTATAAACGTTGACACTGTTTTGATGGCTTACCACTCCCTATTTCACAGTTATTTTACTTATGGTATAATACTATGGGGAAACACATTGAATGCCATACGAATCTTTCGGCTTCAAAAGAGAGTCATACGAATCCAAACATTTTAGAGACTCTTGTCGACCTTTATTTCAGACCCTAAATATCTTACATATGCGTTATACATACTCTCTTGGAAATCAACAAACTAAAAGATGCTATACTCTTAAATTCTGATTACCACAACTATCCCACCAGGGGTGGTAATTTAATTAGAACGACACGTTTTTGATTGGAAATATCGAAAAAGACCTCATTAGGTGTTCAACTGGATAATAAGATTCCAGTAAACTTAAAAAATGAAAATTGTTTAGCTTTTAAACGTAATGTTAAAAGTTATTTACATTTGCACTGTTTTTACGATATCAGTGAATATTTGAATAGTCAATAGCGTTACTAGACTGATCTGCATTTTAATAATTAAATTCAGATCAATGTATTATTCTGTTTATCTAAAATGTTTCTGTTATATACATTTATATCGTATGTTACCTTTATTTATTTATTTAGAATTTCTAAATTGTATTAGACTTGCTACACATGTTTTTCATAAAGTATTCTTCTTCTTGGGTCGCTACCTGACTGCAAGGTTATCAACAGTTGACTATTGGAAGTCGCATCGAGTTGCAAATTCTCAAAAATCACCACAGGATAAAACTCGGACGAAAAAAAAAAACAGCCCGCCGCAAGCCAATTTTTTTAAAAATTGTCGACTGTTTCAAAATATGCTGACTTCTCTACATGACTAAACAAAAAAAAACACTTTCGTAACAAATGAGTTTTACTATATTACACAACTGACAAAAACAAAGCTTCAATATCAACTAATTAACAAAGATAGTTAAACTTTCATTGAAAATAGATTAGATACCTTATAGGTATAAATAATAAATTCCTACTAATTAAATCAAAGTAAGTATATTTCTTTAAAGGTGAGCAGCTACATGTAACAATATACAGGTTGTTCAATTACACATTCACGCTCTCTAAATGTTACGCCTCTGTCCAGAAACTAATTTGGAATATAATTTTAATTTATAAAAAAATTAAATTAAAATAAAGACCATCCACCTGTGTGTGCGAATAATTCGAAAGCCAATCACTTTATAAGTTTCCAACAAGAGTACAAAATCCTACTGTATTAAAGAGCCAATGTTTGACTGTCCATGTCGAGATCTCGGGATAGAGAAAGCCAAAACCTTATCAGACTCAGATATAAGCTAGATACACTTAGAGACCAAAATCATGGTACCCGAGATATAGAATTCGGTCCCTTCTTTATGTAAAAACACATCAAAAAATTTAAAATTGTAGTTCAAATAAATTATGGGACAGTGACATAAAATTTGTTTCTTTATCCCACTCACAACCAAATATAATTAAGCATCTCATCTTTATTTTACAGGATGGCTGTGTTAACGCACTGTATTATGTAGTTATCCCAATATGGTGGCTAGAAAACACCAAATTCAAATTCGAAGCCGCAACAGACTTTCTGAAATCGCTAAATCTAGCTACAAAAACGCTTAGTTGGCAAACCTGCCTCACTGCAAAAGGTATTTAAAATACCGATCACAGGGACCAGTGCAGCCAGAACTAGTACTATTGGACTACATCTAGTACGTTCGAGATATTTTTGATACGTTTATTCGATGGTAGCGATTTTAGTACAATTCTAGTATTATCAGTGTACAAAGTATTGTTTTAACCAGTTATAATCATTTTACTATTAAAAATAGTTACGAAAAAAATGTAGTTTAAAATATCAGAACTGACAATAGT